ATCTAATTCTTCTTTTGCTGTATTATTTTGTGTAAATAGATCAGTTAATTCATTTTTTAGAGATTCAACTTCTTTTAGAAGTTCTAAACCTTTTTAAGCTGCTTTAAATATCAGATTTAATATATCTTTTATACTTTGATTAGTCTCTTGTTGCCTGCATGCTATCGATTCCATAATCTTTTTTAAATCTGGAATTTCCTTATATTTTTTTTCTAGCATCCTTTTTATACCCTCTAGAGCCTGTGGGCTATTTTTTTCGAAATTAATTTTAAAATAATCGATGTCTTTTTTAAGCGAGTCAGTTAGCCTATTTAGTTTTTTTTGGTAGTCTTCTTTTTGAATAAAATCTTCGAAGTCTGATTCAGGAGCTTTAAGAGCTTTAAGAGCTTCATCTATTTCATTTTTCAAATTTTCTAGTGCTTGTAAAATTGGTGAATCTTGTTGATTGATTTCTCTTATTAAAGTTTCTATCTTATTTTGCGTTGTAAAATCTTCAAATTGTAGCGAGGATATAATCAGAATTACAATGAAAGCTATGAGAAATAGACATTTCTGGACGTTCATTGAGGCGAGAAGTTTGGTGAAAACGCAACCAACTTTTTATAGACTGTTTTGCACCAGAAATTTTGCATCCAATAGGAATATTAAAGTTAATAATTATTGAAATGGTCAATCAACACTGGAAAATTTAACCATCAGGTCGTCATGGTTTCAAGAAATGGTCTGCAATTGATCGATTGTCTCTAACTGGCATAAAACGTACCAAATCAAACTGGATAACAAAACTTTTATCAAATGCCCTCGTTAAAACCAAATCTCTTTATAAAGCGGCCAGATTCAACGATAAATTTTTTTAACCGATTCAAATAACCCTATTTAAATATGCCACATGTGCATATAGCGGCCACACGATCGCTGCATTGGGTCTCTTTTCGGAAAGTAGAGGGCCAAGTGTAGAGTACATTCGACCCAGCCTCGCATGCGTCATACGAGGCCTGGTGCATGGACAGGGCTGTCTCGCCTTATCAAAGCAGTTGTGCACCAACCAGCATACGCTTGTAAAGTACAACAATGTTCTTATGGCGATTCTTGCTTAAGGATCTTGAATGCATCGAGTTTATTGTCCAATAAACCATTTTGCTGCACCCTCGTTGGCTAATATTTTTTTTTCTTTTGTTCGGTTTCTTCTTTTTTTCTTTTTCTTTTTCGGTTTCTTCTTTTTTTTCTTTTTCTTTTTCGGTTTCTTCTTTTTTTCTTTTTTTAATTATTATTCTTGTATTTTTTTTAGAGTTTCTTGTTTGCCATCTAAAATATTTTTTAAGTCTTTTAGAGTATTTAGAGCTTCTTCGGTTAGTTTCCTTTCTGAACCCTTTAGGTTTTGTTGAAGAGTGATATGGCTATAAATTTTTTCTTCTAGATCGGCTTGAACCTTTTTATTTCTTTCAACCAACGGGTTTAAAGATTTTGACTCTTCTTGAGGTAATTCTTTTTCTGGAAAGGCTTTTAAATCTTTTTCTAGACCTTCTAGATCTTCTGTAATTTTTTTATCTTCTATATTTTGTAGATATCCTACTATTTCTAGAGCTTCTTTATATTTTTTAGCTTTTACAGATTTTAGACAATATATATAAATTTCCAGGTTTGCAGCCGTTGTATACCTTTGAGTTTTAATAGTTTGTAGATCTTGTAGAATTTTTAGAATTTGTAGAATTTCTAGAAATGGTTGATTCTGTTTATCTTGTAGAGTGTTTACATCTTTTAGATCTCGGGATATTTTATTTAGGTCAAATATTTTATCGATTATATTTCCTTCAAGTTCTTGCTCTTTTTCATTTTCTAAACTGATTAAAATCATTTCGAGATTTCTCTTTTCTTCATATACTTGAGTTAGTAAATTTTGTCGATTTTCTTCAACTTGTTTATATTTTAGAGCACGTAAAGCTTGTAGATAGGCTGCAGCTACTGCAAATTTTTGCTCATTTATGCGATTTTTAACAACTCGAATTATTGCTGTTTGTTCTTTTATTTCTGGATTTATACTACGTAGTCTAAATCGTATATTATTTATCTTGTCTTTAATTTTGTCAAATCTTTCAGTGTTCAAAGCTGTTTTGGGGGTTTGGTTTTTTGAGTCATGTTGTAATGAGGGTAAAACGAGAGTGGAAAGGATAATCAAAGCCATGAGAAGTAGAAATTTTTGGGCGTTCATTGAGGCGACAAGTTTGGTGAAAAAGCAGCAGCTTTTTATAGACTGTTTTGCACCAGAAATTTTGCATCCAATGGAGTCTTAAACGAAATAATTGCTGAATCGGCCAATCAAAAATGGGAAATTTAGCCATCAGGTCGTGATATCTCCAAAAATGCTCTGCAATCGCTTATTGGGTAGAGGTTGTTGTGCTCTGGGCTGATATCTACCCTTATTCAACAAGGAGACCGCCCAGAACGAAGGATCTTCTTAGAACATCGTGCAAACTTCTCGTTTACTCTTTCAAGTATTATTGCAATCGACCAATTGTCTATGACCGGCATAAAACGTACCAAACCGAACTGGATAGCGAAATTTTTATCAAATGCCCTCATTGAAACCAAATCTCTTTATAAAGCGGTCAGATCCAACGATAAATTTTTTTAACTGACACCAATAACTTTATTTAAATATGCCACATGTGCATATAGCGGCCGCACGATCGCTGCATTGGATCTCTGGATCTGATACGGCATAGCTTCCGCCCAACCCTAACCAAGCATATGGCTGTTCTGAGAGGGTATTAAGTCTAAATTGGCTCTCACTCCTGCTAGAAATCGTTCAAGGCGTCAATAACTGCCTCCCTGAATGCATTAGGCGGTTGAATTGTCTCAAATGCTCCTACAGAAATTGAGTTTGTGTGATATTTTTTGATATTGAAGTGCTTATTTCCAGCTTGACGCTATATTTCCTTTATAAAGCGCCCCATAAATTGTTGATCGATGTTCATATGGATGCAAAACAGAAAGCAGAATCTTTCGAGTGGCTTCATTTAGCCGTTAAAAGAAATTAAATATTAATAAAGCTAGAATGGCAAGATCTAATGCATTATGGGTCACCTTGGCGTGGCCCAAGTTTTTCAAGGGAATACAAATTTTAAAGGCCCTACAGCGCATTTCAGCCAAAGAGTCTTCAAAATATGCCCAATAAACTGCTCCAACGATGGAAGGGTTAAATGTTGCTGGTGCACATATTTTTAAACTTCAAAAGGCCTAATTAAAATATGCACAAGTTGCTACAAAATTTTGAAATTTAATCTCAAGCGCTTTACTTTTCAAAACAATAATGCCATGCATCGATGCCAAGGTTTGATCCTCCTTAGTTTGAGCTAAAATCCAAATCGAAAAAATCAAGTATTTTTTTCAAATTAAATGTAAATTTTAGCAAACAATCTAAAAACGAGCATTAATACGGTCCAGAAGATCGTCAAATAAAGGAACGAATATTTGAACATCCAAAAGAAATATAATATCGTGAAAATTGAAAAATGTTCTTCACGCGAGCTCTTTATAAATCTCTGATAAAGAGCGAGAATTATGGCACCAGAAATGCCAGATACTGAGGCGATGGTGATCTCAGACCAGTATTTCATAAAATTTGTGTTCAAGAAGTCAACTACTTGCGAAAACACGGGAATAGTTATTTCCGTCGAATTAGCCTGTGTGAGCTGTGTAGATGCCCCTGTTGATCCTTTGGCCTTTGGCGTAAGCAGGGCCGCGGGAGATGCCGAAGAGGCTTTTTGAGGTGAATTCTGTAAAGCATCAGATGCCGTTGATATGGATGAGTCCCTGAAAATGCCAAAATACATAATAACGGTTCCAAAAAAAACAAAAAGCACACAGATCAATGTAGCCTTGATGAGGGGAGAAGGTACCTGCATATCACTGATGTAAAAATTCAACATGCTCATCACGAGCGGATATTAAATCCAAAGCTGATTGGTGCGAATAGCGTTTTTACAAGAAACATTAAAAGCATTTAATTATCCGATTTATACGTGTCATTATGAAGCTGAAATGAAATTTAGGGCATATCAGATTTTCAGCAAACGCATGAAAACGCCGTTAAAGGCTTTTGAGATTTTCTTGCAAGAGTTACAGTTGCTTGATTGGGTACATATGTCATCGATCGGTATCACTATTACAGCAAACAAAAATTAAATTTACTTATTTTGGGCATTTACAGCCGGTCTAGCAAGAGTCATGTGCTGGTCATTTTCGCTACCCCTTTTCAGCGATTTTTTAATCCAGTTTCGATACAATAATATGAAAGAAAAGCACCACGCAGAACAAATAATGGCAACCAAAAAGAGCATAAAACGAAAGGGAGAAGTATTCAAAATATTGCTTTTTAAGGAAAGGCAGTAGGAGCCAAAAATACCGGCAGCGAATCCACCGATCCCATTGTATACGCCGTTAAATATTGCTTGGCAGGTGCTTTCTTTACCTTTAAGAGATAACTTGCTAGCGAGGGCAACACATGCTGGGTGAAACAACCCGCAAATAACACCTAGACTAAGCTCAATTAACACAAATACTTCATATCTGGACGACGATGGCACAAAAAACAGCGTCCAYAACCTGGCCACCATTATTATTTGGCCTAAAGCAATCATTGGATAAACGCCAAGCGTCCTTAATAAAGCTGCGCCCGCTAAATAGAAGAGCATTTCAACAACTATTGCAAAAGAAATCGTAGCAGATGCCTCTCTCGGGGACATGCCAACTTTGTCTGTCAAATAAAATCTCAAGAAAAAACCCAAAGAAAACCGAGTGAATCCATCTAGGAATAAGGTTAGCAGATATATTTGATATTCAGAAGGAGAGCTTTAATGCCACAGAGGTGATCGGAAAATTCAACTGCAAATATAGCCTCATTGCGGGTAGAAAGCGGAGGTTCTCCCTAATCTTCACAGGGTCACATTACACCATTGAAGTTAGGGTTAATGGAGACCTACCCAACCATTCAAACTGTAATTAAAAAACAAGGACCCGACCGGGATTGAACCAGTGACCTCTCGATCTGCAGTCGAATGCTCTACCACTGAGCTACGGATCCACAAAATCGAGAACAAATAATTATTATATTATTACTAAATATTCTTTCGAGATGACGAAGCGAAGGCGCAATAATAACGATGCCAAACAAGCAGCCTGAAAGGATAGACTTGCTAACATTTTATTAAATTTAAAGATCTTTCTTCATAGGACCCATAAAGGCGGTCTTTTCTTCGGTAGTCTGGAAGCGACCATGTCCAAATTTGGAAGAAGTATCGATAAATTTGAGATTGATCTTTTCAAGAGCCGAACGAGTGGTGGGTACATGGAGAGCCTTACGAAGAGTGATGACTCTTTTCTTGACACCAGGGCAGCAGCCTTTGATGAGGATGAAATCTTCATCAACGACACCATAATGAGGAAAGCCACCCATGGGGGTGATACATTTTTTGGTAAGATCAAACTCAGTAGAGGCCGAGGTTTGATCAGATCCAGTTCCCAGACGATAAATCTTCTTGTTGGTTTCGGTACGATGATGGAAGCCATTTTGACCAGCACGAGGGACTGAATACATGACACGGCTTGGATGCCAAGCACCGATGCAAGCGACCTTACGAAGACCCTTGTTGGTCTTGCGCGGGAGCATTCTGGTACCCCAACGGGTGGTAACGCCTTCAAACCCTTTACCCTTGGTAATGGAAATGGTGTCGATCAATTCGTCTTGAGTAAAAACACTAGAAATCGGGACGACTTTTTCAAAATGAGAGTAGGCCCAATCAACCTTGTCAGCAACTGTGCCGCCATTGACCTGGATTTCCATAACATGGGCTCTCTTTTGACCAATGTTAATTTTGCGGATTTGGGTATGCGCAATAACGCGAATGACATTTGCATAGCTCTTGATGCGTTCGAGGGAATCGGTAATTGGAGCACCGCTGTCAGCAGCATATTTCTTGACATATTTGGTGAAGGCCTTGTTTTTGGAGTGATACCAGTTCCTATAGAATCTGCGGCGCATTTCCTCTCCAAGATGTTCGGCCCAAACAGTAGTAACGGCTTTGAGGCCCTTTGGGGTGCTCATGTAGCCAACAAGACCAACGATGACCATTGGGGGCGTTTCAAGGACAGTGACTGCCTCGACGATTTCCCTCTTGTGCATCTTGGATCCAACCTTGTCAAGGTCACGGACTATATGGGTCATTCCAGCTTTGTATCCCATGAAGGCTGTGAGGTGAACAGGCTTGGAGGCATCATCTTTTGGGAATGACTTTACCTTTCCCTTTCCACGAGTGCATCTCTTGCGAGGCAAAAACCCCAATGAACCGTGACGAGGAGCTTCAAATTTGCGATGGGACTATTTATTAGTGGTAATTCAAAGGACAAAAGATGGATGATGAAAACCGAAACCCAGTAATTAGGTAGCACTGCAGAAGCTCTCTTACCATATTGATTAAAATAAACTCGATCTCAATTTTAATTTTAATTTTGCCTTTCATTTTCATTTTCATTTTCATTTTCATTTTAATTTTGACTTTCATTTTCATCCAATGCGCCAACAGCTGCAAAATTGTGGTGCCGAAGAAGATATGTTCTCGGACTCCTTTCAGGAGAAATTTAAAGTTCAATTTGATTTTTCATATAGCTTAGGGATTGTCCGAATCTATCATTACGTGTTCTATTGAAGGGCAGGACGATTCTGACGGATATTATTGCCCAGCAATGGGTGAATGTCTAAAGTCCAATAGATATGAAATCACAGAAGTTCTTGGAAGAGGTGTCTTTGGAAGTGTCGTAAAAGCCACGGACTTGGCAGATCCTGCAAGGAAATTGGTTGCAATAAAAATTATTCGTCGCAATATGCAGGCTTCTGGATCGAAGGAGTCGGCTTTTCTGCAAAAGATTTCGGAATCCTCTCTGCCAGGAAGAAAATACATTCTTCTATCGTTGGACAGATTTGACCACAAGGGCCACTTGTGTTTGGTTTTGGAGCTTCTCTCGTAAACATGGCCTTTTACAATTTTAGGTTGAATTTACGAGACTTGTTAAAGAAGGTTGGACATGGGGTCGGATTGAGCCTCAAAGCAGTGAGGATTTACACGCGCCAGCTGCTCCAGGCATTGCTTGTATTGCACCAACTTGGGATAATCCACTGTGACATCAAGCCCGACAATATCCTTATTTCTCCGGATAATTCCTCAATAAGATTGTGTGACTTTGGGATTGCAACGGATGTACATGATGGAATGCCTATTGAGCCAACCCCATACCTGGCCAGCCGATTTTATCGGGCCCCAGAGATAAGTGCTTCCAATTACTTATGTTAGTTCTTGGACGGGTGCCCCTTGATAATAAGCTGGATTTGTGGTCACTTGGATGCACCGTTTACGAGCTTTTTACCGGTTCGATTCTGTTTTCTGGAAACTGCAACAACGACATGCTTTCTTGGATGATGGCGTATAGGGGCAAATTTGCGCCCAAAATGTTGCGCCGGTGTGTCAATGCGCCCGAGCATTTCAATGAGTCTGAACAGTGGGCATATTTGCATCAGGTTCAAGATAGCGTGACACGATCCAAAGTTATTCGAGTCGAATATCCAGCGCAATTGCCAACTCTGGATATCAAAAAATCGCTTCTTGCATGTGTGAAGCTAGAAGGCTCTTTTAATGAATCACAGTCGGACATGATCAATCTTTTCGCGGATTTCCTGGAGAAGATTTTGACTCTTAATCCTGAGCAACGCATAACGGTCGAGGAGGCGTTGAAGCATCCATTCATTGCTCATATTTCTTGACAAGCTCGCTGTGAAAATCCTTTTGCATCGCTGCTGATGTGGTCTTTTTCCATCGCCGCCGATGTGGTCTTTTGCCCGTATAATGGCACAGCCTATACACTAATAAAACAGTACTAGCTGCAGAACAGGATGCAATTTTTTTCCTTTTTCGAGCATATTTTGTTTAACCATTTGATGGCAGATACTTTGGAATTTGGCCGCATTTTCGATTGCATAGAAGGTCAAGCAGGTCATTCTTCGTAAAAATTGGACTCGGAAACCTTCCAATTTCAGGCCGGGAATACCGGTCTTTGACACCACAGCAAATATGTAAAATAACGCGACAGGTTTCGGCGGGGACGCTCATTCAAATAGCATAAAAATAAGAGCGCGCAGTTTCCTATTGGTGCAAATTGTATTGAGGCCGATCCCGCTTGAGGGCAAAAAGGCCTAGCTGTTCCCATCAATTGCAATTTAGCCGATTTGCATTTTAATTTAATTATGCCATTGAATCTTTCTGGTATGAATGCCACTTAATTCTAGTAAAATGGGGCACATCCAAATATGACAATCTCACTTTTACGCAAGATGCGTGCGGGATAAATTCCCTCAAGGAAAGCCTGTTTCAGCTTACATCTGTCCCTGTGGATCGTCAAAAGCTCCTCTTCAAAGGGGTGATTTTAAAATCTTCATTGGAAAATGTCCCAGACGGGGCTCAACTTATAATGATGGGCTCGACAAACACCTCTACGCCCGTAGACACAACCATAAGTGTCATCAGAGAGTCTGAAGCACGGATGAAATCGGCCGACCAATCTCTCGTTAGTTCGGAAAGCACGAAATCAGTAGGTGATTTTTCTTGTCTATTTTAGAAAATTCCAATTGGACTGGAAAATCTTGGCAACACGTGCTATTTAAATGCATCTCTCCAGCTGCTTGCAGCGATTCCAAGAATTTCAAGGCTGTTTGAGGCTTCCGATGACCGTGGCTCAAATGATGATCCCTTGCAAAAGCTTGAAAACTCACTGCATCACATTCTTGCCACCCTATCACACCCACCGTCTGCATCTGAACAGGGGTCATCGATTGCGCCCTCAGTGTTCTATTCAGTACTTTGGCCTTTCTATTTTTAGGATTTTTTAAAGGTGTTTCCTCACTTTTTCCATCTTTCATCGTCTTTTGTGCCGCTGCAGCAAGATGCTGAAGAGGCCTTTTCGTCGCTTTGGTCGTTTTTAAGGGACCGGCCGGATCCGATTGGCACCAAATTTAATTCCCTGTTTCACGGCACTCTATCGACCAAGTAACAATGCCAATTTTACACTCGCCCAAGGACATGGTCGGCCGAAGTACCCAATGAGCCTCCCGTTGTTTCTATGGAGCCGTTTTATAAGCTGTCATGCCACATTGGGAAAGCAACAAACAGCCTTTCAATTGGACTGTCTGAGGCAAGTTCAACGGACTTGTTTACAATAGGCGTTGGTCGAGTCATTCCAAAAGGAATCCACAACACTCTCTCGCCAAGCAGTGTACGAAAAGCAATCCAAAATAGCATCTTTGCCAAAGGTTTTGCTAGTCCACTTTATCCGGTTTTATTGGAAACCCGTGGAAAAGGTTAAGGCCAAAATTTTAAAGGTTCATTGGACGACTTTATTTCCAGAAAGTATCTTTTCCACTTGAACTTGACATATACGACATGTGTAGTGACGATCTGAAGGCCGCTCTTTCGCCTGCGCGAGAGGGCATCAATTTGGACAGTGCCAGTGTATGTGAACAGAAGTGCAAGGTGGACATGGACACCGGAATGTATGAGCTTGTTGGGATTCTCACCCATATGGGGCGGACAGCCGACTCTGGCCATTACATTTCCTGGATTCGAGATAGAATTAATAGTATCGTTGCCCCGCTTTTTAGCTCTAGATCATATTTGGTGGAAGTTTGACGATGACAAGGTATCGCAGGTGACACAGGATGAAATCCTGCGGCTAGATGGCGGCGGCGATTGGCACATGGCCTACATATGTCTCTATCAATCGAAACCAAATATTAAATAAATTCGTTTTTGCAAGCCCTGTGGGATAAAGGCCTATGTGGCGATAAACTGGCCAACAATCAAGCAAGGCACGCCATGGATATCTCTTCTGACGGTAAAGGAAAAGGAGCACGAGACAAAAGGCCCATTTTTCTGATCTGGCCTTTTTAGGAATGCACATGTAAGAACTGTCCTATGCTCCAAATCGTATGCGATGCCAATATATCGCTTCAAGTAGTTCAAAAAGGTTTTTTCGCAGAAAAAATCCAAAATGCTATGGGGAGATTTGTCCCTGTCAACGCCAACCAGCGTTAAGAAGGAAGAGTTTGTCTTTAATATTTGCCCGGATCGTCTCCACAATGCAGTGGGGATCGAGATTTCTCGAAAGTACCGGTCATACTCCAAAAGCATTCTGTAAAGAGAAACCTCAACATTAACGAAATCCATAATCGACGACAGCTGCGCCCATCTCGTTTGCGACATGGAAATATCCTCGTCAATCAATGAAGAGATCGTGGAGATGGCATGCTCTGAAAAGTCAATGGTGGCCGATTTTTCTTTCAGAAATTTGAACGCAGAATGGTAGTCATATGGGGCTAAAAGCCCGCAATTGTATCTTTCGGAAACGATTTTGTGGAGCTTTTCCCTTGTTGATCCAGAGGATGAGCAAATACCGGAGGCAAAAAGAAGGTAAGAAAAAAAATCCTGCCCGCCACCTGCAAGCTCGAAAATGCCATTTTTGGGGTGTCGATTTGTTGTAGACAGCGATGGTTTTGCCAACTCCGAAGGCAGCTTGATGGAAAAGTCGGTTTCGGCACAAGAATCTTGGCTTTTGCAAAGCTCCACGGAAAGCTTAGTTGCATCTGGATGGTCTGGAGAATTCGCGCCAAGGATGTACGCGGAATAAATGTCCGTGTTTTTTCGCTTAAACTTGACAGAGAAAGGCAAGGGGAATGAGGACGATGGGACCTCTTCGTCTCGACATAGCTGGCCAATTTTTCTTGAAATGCATCGTTTGCACGGTCGACCTATGCGTCAAGTCAAAAATGGGCTACCATTGTCACATGTCATGTGGGATCGTTTACAATAAATGCATGCTTTGTGAGTCTTGTGTCGCTTTGGCTGGGAAGACCCAGAAACCGGGACATACGATGTTGACTGTGGGATCGGGATACGACATGTGGCGATGTCACTTGCAAATCCGGCCGTACAAGAAACCTTTTTTTTGGAATCCGGGAAGCCGGTGTGTCTTGGCATTGACAAAGATGAAGGAAAGGGGACAAAATAGCCGTCCAGCTGTCTATGGTCAACGGCATCATTACTCTGCTCCTTTATGCAAAGCGAGCACTGGCAGATGGGAAAGTTTTGCATCGTTGGCGCTCACAAAAAGCTAATTTTCGGGAAATTTGGCCAATTGGGCGGGTGGGCCAAGCTTGGGTTGAATAATTTATTTTTTGGACGCTGCACTTTTGAAAATCGACTTTTTCGATGAAGTGAGGATTCCCGCGCGTGCTGCCATGGTGTGCTCTATTTTTGCGCCGATTTCGGCACTAAATTTGCGGTCTTCTTTATGCTTTTTGAGCGCAGATGCCTTTTTCGGGGGAATCGCTATAATAAGTCAGCTGCTTTTGGAAAAATGGACTGGCAGATGTTAATGGCTGTCAATGCACAGCTCTGTAAACATGGAAATGGACAAAGATGCGCATTTACAAACCTTTCTTTCGAAGCCAGGCCCCGCCGCTACCGGTGTTCTTGGTCTTTTTGAGCTTACTCAGCGAAATGGATGAGGCTCCTTGTGGCATTTCAAAAAATTTAATAAATAAATTGGGTGGAAATTTAAATTTTTTGATGAAGTAATTTGCAGTCTGTCTTTTTCCTATAGTACGATTCGGCAAATTGAGCGCATCAACAGCCAAGAGCTGGCAAGGGCAGCCCGACTAGATGGCACAAAGGGATCATGGCACGATGACTACAGACACAGCCCCTATATATACATTGGCGGTCTGCCGTTTGAGCTGAATGAGGGGGATATTTTGTCCATCTTTTCACAGTATGCGGCCCATGTTTGTTTGTCTAGATATGGAACGATCATTGATATCGATCTAGCTCGGGAGGCATCCGCAGATGTTTCAGGTCCATCGCCTAATCTTGATAGAAAGGGCAAAAGCAAGGGGTTTGCATTTGTCGGGTACGAGGATCAAAGAAGCACCGTCTTGGCTGTGGATAACTTTAACGGAATCAAGGTATCTCCTCCCCAATGCGTCTTTTCAAGATCTTAGGAAGGACCATCCGGGTGGACCATTGTACAAACTACAGGGGCGCGCGAAAAGCCAATGCGCAAGCACAGGAGAAATCTACCTCCACTAGGTCGGCCGCTACACATTCCGACCACGATAGTAATGATGCTGCGCAGAGACTCTATGGCGTGCATTCTCCTCGCACACGTGATCCGGCTGGCGGTGCCTCTTCGCAGCATGAGCATGCTTTGTCTGATGGATACAAGGTCAAGGACCGTGAAAAGCCCTATCACCATAGTACAGAGCATCACCGCAGAAGGCGGTACTACTCTCCAGGGCGACGTACCCCTCCACCATCGTGAATCCAGATTGTCCCGATTGACGGATCTGCAATTGGTGGCTGTTTTAGCTGTATAAATCTTATTCCCACAACCTTTGCATTACAGGGCCCTCGATATGGCCGCAATTGCTATTCACTGCAAGAATTTCAAGGTATGGGGTATTGCACCCACGAAGCACGAGGTAGTGGGACATGTTTGTTTGGCTCTGAAGACACTTTGGGCAATTTTAAGTTTGTTTATAAATATGATGCCGGCAATGATGTGGGGAATTGGCGGCAAAGGCATTTGCCTTTGTAATAACCAGCGCCCCTTATATTCTCCGGTGACACACACACACACACATTTCTGCTGAACCTGCAAGCATGTATGTGTGGTGAAAACACACTTTATGTCTTGTTGTGGCAATCATCACGCTATTCATTATTGATTTGGCCTGCTGCATAGAGGAAACCGCGTCAAAAAGAGCCAAAAAAAGCAACAAGAATTTCCACCAGCTCTAAGCATACAAGGAGCCCGTACATGGTGAAATGCGATCCCGTGCTGCATCATTACACTTGCAACCCCGCACTGTTGATGGGTGGTAGCCAAAGTGAGCTCAGAAATCGAGAAATACGCAAACGGTGAAAGAGAAACGCTTTGAGAGTTAGCAAGGATTGAGGATGGCCCACCTAGGAACCTTTTGTGTCGTTGTCAGCATTCATCAGCATCTCCATCAAAATCGACTCCACGAGGGTCGAAAACCATTCCTTAAGCGAGCTCAGATCCATGGATATCTCGTGCTCGATCCTTGAACGGATCTCTCCAAGAGAGAGATGGTCGGCATCGTGCGAGACCAGCAGCTTCTTCACAGCAGCCTCAATTTCGTTCACTTTGGCTCTTGGCACGACAGAATGTGGCGAATAATCTAACGCGGCAATTGTATTGCAGCGCATGCCGATTACAACCGGATCGATTGGATCGCCATGTCCGGTGCTACAGGTGTCCAGCTGGCCATTGTACGAATACCTTCCAAATAGCTGAGGATGGTGAGGACGGCTTCCCCATGGGTTCAAAGCCATGATCGTGTGGTTCTCCTTGATCGAGGAGGGGCACTGCTGTTTTCGCGTGCGGCCCCACGTAAAGTCGTCAAAATTACAAAAAGCATAAAGTGGCAGGATAAAGCAAAATACGGGAAGCGTCAAGATGTAGAGAAACATCCAGCCCATGATGTACCATCTTCTCTTCAATACACAAACACTTGCCTGCATGGCAAAGGTTGCTGCGGCAAGAAGCAACGCCGAATTAGCACTTGTGTATGTGGAAAAAACATCATCTTCGTTTAAAGCGAAAATGTTTGAAATGATTAGCTGCGTGGCACACCAGAGCAAATATACCATCGTTGCTGGCATGACGAGCGTAGAATTTAGGTCCAAAAGCACGACCAACTTCATCGAGATGCATCCAATTCCACACAGACGTGGAATGGAAAGCAGCTCCCAAAGATTGTGGATGGTAGAATTGATCCAGCGCCGCCGCTGGGAAAGCAGCACGCGCCAAGACTCTGGCGCAATGGTTTTGCAAAGTGCATCTCCGGAGAACGAAGTTTTGTAATTCGGAAAATATTTAAGCAACAAAGTGGTAAGAAACCGGTCTTCGCCCAATGTGAGCAAATTACGACGGTGAAGCGTCGAGTCGCTATTCTCCTGCGTGCCATATTCGGCCAACAATGCGGGGGAAAGCAAGAGTGGCTTCATGGCTGACGAGTCGCCCCCGTGGACATATGAAGTAACGGGGGTACGAAGGCGATACAGAGTAAAGCATCCAGGAAGGCAAGTCACCACTCCAAATAGACTTTCAAAAGCCTTTGACAGATGGTGCGTAATGTAGTATTCGTAGACCTGGATTGAAGTGACCCAGGAGGCCCTGGGATTTGCCAGCGTCGTCTCGCCGCACACGCCAACGACTCTTCTATCACCAATCATCACAGATATGAGGCGAGTCAAAGCGTCTGGTGCACATTGCGTGTCGGCGTCAACCATCAGCAGATATTCAAAGGTCAGTGGATCCATGCCCAGGCCTCCGTGAAGCGCCCCCGTAAGAGCCTCTTCAAGAGGTGAAAACTGCGGTTGTGGAATTGGAATCTCGATTGCCGTACAATCTTCCTCCGTGCCCTGCGACTGGTTTGCCAAGTGAAGAAGCTTGCTAAGCCATCTGAGCAGGATCAACTGTGAATCCCGCTTGCCGCGATTTCCAGGGCATTTTGAGATTTCTCCTGGAGACCCAAGTTTGACTATCAAGACAAATGGGATTGCATGTGAGAAGGATCCCTTCAAAGACTGGTGGTAGTATCCGTACCAAAATTTGACATAATTTTGGTCGCCAAGAGAGTCGTAGGAAACTATTGGATGGCCCTCGTGCATCATCCAGGCATTAGTTTCATCTACAGAGGCAGGCCTGGAGATACCAAGGATATCTAGAAGAATGACCGCGGTGGGGCGGTCGTTTCCCGCGCCTGTCGCAAGGCCATCGCAAACGATCCAAAGCAGCTTGAATCGGTCGTCATAATCGGAGCTCACCAACGAGCCGATGGACTTTCTTAGGGACGCTTCGCCTTCCGTAAAGCAGGTCATGTGCAGAATTGTGTGGCGCCCCAATACTTCTGGCAACTTTTTGCGGCCAAGCTGCAAGGCGGCAAGGAACTTGACGCCAGTGATGAGGAGCACAAGAGCAGCCGAGCCCATAAGTACTTGCCGGCCAATTGCACACTTGAGAGGCGATCTTGGATCTACGATGCCCACAATTGGTGCCATACTGGCCACAATTGCCAGGATGTTTGCGGGATTCGCATCATTTGAGGAAAGCGCTTTGACAAGTTGCGCCGTATGGTCAAAGCCAGACCAAGGAAGCGAAGTCAGAGCAATTTGAACAGGAGACACACTTTCATCTTTGACCTGAAGCAATGAGGACACGTTGAAAAGCACGCCTTCAACGGAAATGATTGGGGAATCCTTTGACGAGCCTCTCGAGGCAAGGTCTTGCGTGTCCCAACCGAGGTCAGCAACCCAGCAATTTGAAAGTGCCTCCAGAAGCCCCATGGTTTCTGGAGAGTTTGCATCGAGAAGATTAGATGATAGGTTCAACTCGATATCTGCTATCGAATTGATGCCAAAGGTGATGGACGAGTCACGCGAAAAGGCTTCCAATGGCTTTCCTTTTTTGATGGCTGCCGAGGCTGAAACGGACGGCATGCTTGGTATTCTGCCAATGCCGTCCATGGCCTGGTTGAATATATCCTGTGCAAACAATGCAGAGGCATCTTTCCCGGCGTAAAATGAAAGCAAGTTTGAGCCCTTCCTAGAAATGGAGAGCGAAAACAACTTTTTCAAATCAAAAACTCGGCCATAAATAAGGACACATGGCTCGGTATCGACATTTAAATTTTGGAAATCAAAAAAGGACATCACTTTGCAATCGGGGCATAGAAAGGTGCCAAAGAACCACAAATAAAAGAATAGCACAAGCGAAAGCAGAAAGATTATTACACACAAGGCGACCTTTTCCCTCCAGGCTTGTATCCGCTGAGATGACGACTTTAGGCGATATTCATCTCTGCTCATTCCAAGAAGATAGGAAAGAACGAGATTTGGAATGAAAAAAGTGCAAAGTTGGCTAAACAATATCCAAAGCTTGCGGGAGGGGGAGCTGTCAAAACGAGATGAAGAGGCATTCGTTTTGGCAGGTTTTTCAATGTCCGGGATGGATGCCATTAACCAGATGCTAAAAACTCGGCATAATATGAACTAATGTATTGTCTCCATGGAAACTACCAAGTCATAAAAATAAAAATATTTTTTTGCAAAAGGACCCACCTCTCCATGGCTTTGAAAGCGAGGCATGCTAGCCATAGGTTGCCATATTTTTCATAAAAAGGTCCAGCTATGCACATGCCGACGATGCATTTATTTTTTAGCAGGGGATCCATTTTGACAGTCGTCTATGGCTTTGCATCAGCGTTGTCTCGTCTTTCCTTCAAAAACGACCCCTTTGATCTTGGATATCACAGAAATGACGCGACTATGCATATGAAATTTGTTGTAGATATTCCTCGGCCAATTTGTTGTAGATATTCCTCGGCCAATTTGTTGTAGATATTCCTCGGCCAATTTGTTGTAGATATTCCTCGGCCAATTTGTTGTAGATATTCCTC